CCCCAAGAAATAACAAACTATAAAACAACAAAAAAAAAAAAAAGCAAGCCCCCACCTCAAAACAAAAAAAAAAAAAAAAAAAAAAAATACATTTTTTATTAAATTAAAATTAAACTTATTAATATTAATTAAAATATAAAATTTAATTAAAAAAAAAATTTAAAAAATTTATCTATAATATTCTTTTTCTAAATTTGCCTAATCATTATGAATTTTCCATTTATTTATTGTTTGTTCTAATTTAGATTCAGGAATATAACTAATATTAAATCACATTGTTTTACATTTTATACATAAATTACTTCTAGGAAAAAGAAATTTAATTTTAGAAAGATATAATTTCCAAATATTAATAAAACTAGTTGAGCTAATTAAATAATCAGAGTTTTCAATAATTAAAGACTTATATAAACAAAATAAGCTTAAATAACTTTCAGTTGCTAAAAGAAAAATTATTATTTTTGTTTCTTTTTCAAAATGTCAACCTAAAATATTAAAATTAATATTAATATTAATTTAATAAATAATTATAAAATTTAAATTTTATACCAAGAGAAGGAAGTCCATAAATATTAGTATAATTTGAAATAAAAGTTAAAATATGTAAAATATTTTTAAAAGAAATTTTGTTATTACTATTTTGATTTTTAAGTCTATGAGATATTGATAAAATATCATGTTCAAAAAAATATTTACGAATTGATTCCTATTTCCAATTAGTTATATTATATATTAATAAAAAAGCTTTTAAACAAATTTTATCACCATCAAATCTATATTTATTAGTTAAATATTTTTTATCTTTTTCATGTTTTGTAGTACTTTCTTTTCTAGTTAAAGCATTAAGTGTAGTTAATAATAATATATTTTTTTTAGCTTTTGATAAAAGTTGAACATTTTTCCATTTTTTTATAACTACTTCACAATTAATTTTTTTAGTACAATTCCAAGTTAAGCAATTAAAAGTATCAAACTTAAGACAAAATGCTTCAATATCTTGTTATATAAGTATTTTATTATTTTTAGAATCATTATTAATTAATTTAGTTTCATCTTTTTGATTATATTTTTTATAAAAATTGATAATTTGAGTTTTAGAAAAAATATTACTTTCAATATTAAATAACTGTTCATCTACTAAAATATTAATTTCTTTTTTTTCTTCTATTTTATTATTCTTATCTTCTTCAATTTCTTCTGAATATATAGACTGGTAGGTATTTTGTAATGCTAAAATACTAGTATTTAATAAATCTAATTCAGGATGAGTTTTAGTAAAAACACTATTAAAAAGAAAATAAGTTATGTTGAAATTTGAAATTACAATATACAATTATATTTTAGTTTTATACATTTTTATAAATATAAATATAAAATTAACTATATAAAATTTTAATATAAAATACTTTATTAATAAAAAAAAAAACTATACAAAATATATAAATTAAAAAACCTATTATTATATATAAAGTTTATTTAATTTTATAATTGTGCTAATTCAAAAACAACAAGCTATTGTTCTATATAAGATAGTTTTTGCTTTGATTACAAAATTTTATAAATCTTGCATATTGTATTTATCATATATCTGTAATCTGTAACAAATTCTACTAATTTTAATTACTGTCTAATTATATTTTCAGTGTAAGACTTAACTGTTATAAACTATTAACAAAAAAAACCTAAAGTTAGAATTTAAATTCCAATATTGCTTTTTAATATTGACTAAACAAATATTTATATAAAAACAATAATAAGCCTTTTTGAATTACAATACATAGCTTTTATCATGATTTAAGGCATAATTAGATAGTAATTGAAATTAGTAGCTTTACCTATTACAGATTACAGATGTGTGTATTTACTATTGTCTTCATGATAGTTATAAACTCTGCATATTTACTATTGTCTTCATGATGGTTATAAACTCTGCATATTTACTATTGTCTTCACAATGGTTATTAAACTCTATATATTTACTATTGTCTTTACAATAGTTATAAACTCTGCATTATTGTTGCATACTGTAAATGACACAGCCAAATTGCAAATCATGAGTTTGCCAAACCACACAAAAGAATCATATAAATGAAATGTAAAAGCAAAATTTAAGTTTTTGCATTAGACATTTGCACAACATATAATATTATTATGCAAATAAATATTAGATTATCTTTGCCTTATATGATCACTCTATATGGTTTGACAGACTTGTAACCTGCACTTAGAGGCCATGTCTACTGTAAATAAAGATCTCATAAGGCCTGCTACTGCAGTAGCTATAAAGATATAATAAAAGTAATCTATTATTTTTAAATAGTCTACTCTATTAAACTACCTTCTTATTCTGATCCTGCTTACTTAATCGACACTTTAAAGACAATTAATTCACAGACAAGTTTATATTATAGACAGTTTATTTTATTAACAAGCTCATTTCATACAGTTTTTTTAGAGTTAGTTTAAAATTAAGATTAAGGTTAGTGTAATTTATAAGAAAAAAACATTTCTGTGATTGGTAAAAAGCTGTCTACAAAATGAGCTTGCTTGTAAAATAAATTATTTATTAAATAAACTTGTATGTAAATAGATTGTTTGTAAAATAAACATGTCAGTAAATTGCTTGCTGTGAGTATAAAGTTAATTAATTTATTGAAAATAAAAACATAAACATAAAATGCTAATTTATAAATAAAGCTTATTTACAATTAATTATCAAATACCTTCTTATTCACATTAATTTAATCTGTAAATACTAAATTATAAATGCATATTTCTGTACTTTTTTCATTTATATTAATTTAATATATAAGTATTATTAACATTAATCAGTAGAATTAAAAACATAAACATAAAATGCTAATTCATAAATACTTTATAGTTCTGAAATTAAGCACCTACTGAAATTCAGCACCACTAAATTTTGTATAATATCCAAAAATAAACACACTCTAAGTATAATTGTATAGGATTTTTGTATTAAGTAAACCTGTTTTTAGCTCTAAGTAAAGCTATTCTCCTGGTCAGAACGATTCTAATGGTGGCAGGATTATCAAAATTGGTCTAGTAGAACTTTCAAAATTGCTCTTTAGAGTTCGGTAATATTCATTTATATTAGCTTTTTTGTAATCTACAGATCATATAAGTAAATGTAAATAAATATTGCCTGAATTTTGAAGAGCAATTTTGAAAGTTCTACAGAACCAATTTTGATGATCCTACTACCATTAGAATTATTCTGACAAGAAGAATAACTTAGAACTGAAAGCAAGTTTACTTAGCACTAAAATTATATATTATTAATTTTTAAATTTATATCTAAAAATAAGCACCTGCTATAACAATAAAGGGTGCTTATTTGCAGAACTATACAGTACTTATCTTTAAAGCTTCTTTACAATTAATTATCTAATACCTTCTTATTCACATTAATTTAATCTGTAAATATAAAAATGATTTATTATTGTTAATCAGTAGAATTAAAATTATAAACATAAAATACTAATTCATAAATACATATCTCTATACTTTTTCAATTACTAATACCTTTTTCTTTTGCATTAATTTAATCTGTATATAAAGATGATTATTAACATTAATCAGTAGAATTAAAACATTAACTAGTTCATAAATACTTTCTCTAAATACTTATTTTCAATTGATTATCTTATACTCTTTTTATTCACATCAATTTAATCCATGAGTATAAAGATAATTATTAACATTAATTAGTAAAATTAAAATCATATACAGTAAATAAAATACCAATTCATAAATACTTATTTCTAAATATAGTTAATTAGTTTATCGAGTTTTATTAAAAAAAAAGGTACAGTAGTTTCATGAGAAACTGTTTAAAAAAAATAGTTGTGCTGGCAATTAAAAATTAGAAGAAGTAGCTCATTAGGGAGGGGCAAAAAATACCACTAGCTTACCACTAATACCATCAAATAATTTTATTTATAATATTGGGATAAGAATTAGTTATTTGTAAAATTGATCTATTAGATAAAAGAGATTGTCAAGTGATAACTAAGATGTTAGAAAAATATCTCTAATCCAAATTCAGAGCACAATGAATTAATTAATATTTCATTTTTACCAATTTATTATAGAGCTGTAAGGATTTTATTTTTTGTTAAAAAAAAAAGCTAATTATCTTTATCACTATAATGCATTTTTCATAGTATTATAAGTATTATACTTAATATTATTCTAGAAGCAATCTACAGATCTATAGATCTAATAATCCTGTTTAAACAGGTTTGTTAATCTTGAATAACTATTTTAGATTGTTTTGATTTTGTGTAACAAAATAGTTTTTGCCTATTTTCTCAAAACCTGTGATTAACCAAATTTCTTGGTTTCTACTTTTGAGAGTCCATATATTCTTTAAGATCTTTAAGAAAGCATTCATTGGTTTTTGCATTGCAATTATAAAATACTTTATTAGAAGTATATATTAACAGTTAAAAGTATATAGTAATTGTGAGTTATCTTACTGGAAGTAGCTGTTAAATATATTTTTTTTATAATATATAGTAAGTAAATTGAGTTTATAGAATTACTAATATGTAAGAAATCATAACTAATTCTTTATTTTTAAAGGTAGCCTTTATTCATCTATATATTTTTATTCTATTATGGATAAGACTATAAATACTATTGACAATAATAGTGAAACTATACTTAATACAGACTTTTTAAATAAACTTTTGAATAATGAATCTTATAAACCTGATATTAAGATTGTGAAATTTGACTTTGAATGTAATGATGAAAGTATTGCTAAAAGTGGTAGCTAGAATTCAGATAAATATATTTCATTAATAAAACCTCTACAATTACATATTGAGATGATATTTCCTTCATAAACTGTTGTTAATAGGTTAATAAAAGCCTTTGTATATCATAATAGTTTTAGTATTCGAAAATATCATCCTGAAAAATTAGATAAAAAATGTGTTAGACAAACATATTTGTGCTGATATTCCTCTGTATATAAGCTTATAAAAAACAAACACTCAGAAAAGCAAAGAAATAAAAATTCTGCTTAAGTTAATTGTCCTTAGAAAATCTATATTTGATATCAAAAAAACAGTCATAACTTAAAAGTTTTCTCATTTGATAGTAATTATAAAAAGCATACTTTAGATCCAGTAAATCAACAATTTGCATCTCAATATCAATAATTAACTCAAACACTTCTTAAAAACATTAAATTTTATACTCAGAAAGGTCATCTAGGAGCAACTGACTAATATTGTCTACTAAAGATTTCACATTCTTACTATACTTTACACAAAAAAGACCTTTATAATGCAATACAACAATTTCATAATGATAATGACCCAAACCTTGATAACACAGCAAGATTATTTGAATATCTGTTGAATCAAAGACTTAATGATAACAATTTATATATAGAATATAAGTTTGATCAAAGAACCAATGCATTAACAAACCTATTTTAAATAATACCACATCAACTTGCTTTTTGAGATTATTATTATAATGTAATCATTCATGATAACACTACTAAAACTAATCAGTATAAAAAACCATTATTATTATTTATTTGTATTAACAATAATCATAATTCAAGATTAGTTGCTCAAGCTATACTCGATGATGAAACTAGAGAATTTTATTGTTGGGTATTAGAATGTGTATTAAAAGCTACAAACTATATTGAATCTGATGTTTTTATGACTGATGCCAATCCAGCTATGATTTCTGTTATTTCTAATATATTTCCTAATATAACTTTACTTTACTGTATCTGGCATTTGGGACAAAACTTAATAAAAAATCTGAAAAGAAAATTAGTCAACAAATTTAATAGCTTTATGAAAGCTTTTTATTAATGCTATAATTCTCTTTCAATTCCAAAATTTAAACATCACTAGGCAGAATTAATTCAAAACTATTCTGATGCAAATGATTATTTTAAAAAAAATCTGGACTCTTATAAGTTTGCATGGGCTAAAGCATTTATATATAGTATATTTAATGCTAATATTCAGTCTTCACAAAGAGCAAAAGCAACTAATTCTATTATTAAAAAACAGTTAAATTATTGAAACATTAGTATTTATAATTTATTTATAAAACTAAAAGAAAAACTTGTAACTAAAGCTATTAATAGTACTTTTATAGATTAGAAAATGTTATAATGTTTTTCTAAAAGCAATTAAAATATTAGTAGTGTTTTTAAGCCTATTGATAATATCATTAAAACTTTTTTAATATCAACAAGTTTAAAAAAACAACAGGATCAAATGAATCTTAGTGCACAATATTATGCTACAATTGTTTTATATGAAGATCAATACAATATGCAAATAAGTTAAATTATATTAGGGTTAGGATTAGATTTAGCATTAGGGTTAGGTTTAGTATTAAAATCAGATTTAGTATTAGTTCAGGTTTAGCAGTAGAAGCAGGTTTACTAAAGTTAGAATTAAGATTAATATTAGAATCAGGTTTATTAATAGAATCAAATTTCTTACTAAAGTCTATATTGGCATTAAAGTTGGTTTGTATATATATTAATTTGGATTTTTATTTTGGTTTTTAGATTCAGAAAATAGATAATAAATGTGTTAATAATATATTTGATTATCCTCAAACTTTAACATTACATATTTTTTAATGGGTATCTGTAGCCCAAATGTACTAAATTTAGTACATAAAAAAAAAATCGCTTTAAGTTATCTATAAAATATATTTTATTTAAAATTTGTAAAAATATTTTTTAAACCTAATTTA